CAGCATCACGTGACTTACGCTTTCTTAACAATATTTCACTGGTTCATTGTTATGCCCTCTGAATCCGAAAGCCATATTTTATTTGAGACCAGCAGTGTTGCCCGGGTTCTCGAAAAAAAACTACTCTCTGATTCCCTGTTCCATATTTCGATAGGTAAAAAATGTTTTGTGCATTTATGAAAAAAAAAACCCTTAGATTTGATTTTTGAAAATAAACTACGAACATGTTTTAAATCAACTTCCTTATGAACGTTGTATTTTTTCTTTTTTCCGTCACTGGCAAGGATAATTATGCCCTATTCACCCCATCCCCCGTCATCCCTCCTCAAATATAAAAATTTCAAACGTAAATATGTATGTAATATTATGTTCAGTTTGCTTTAACGTAAGTTTGATATATTTTTATGAATGTGATACCGTATTCACATTGTGACATTGATGAAGTACACTACAGTTACAAACATATTGCAATATTGTACTTTATGTATCAAAAGAAAGAAATCTACTTCCAGGTATCGAACTACCTAGAGAAAAAAAGTAGAATAAAATACATTCACTGACTTGACTTTAATCTCATTTTATACAGTAAATATTATAATGTAAGCCTTACTCTTTTCGCGTAGTCTATAGACAGCATAATTTATTTTATAGGCTAGGCCTACTTCTTCCTTTTTTACACACAACATTCTAAATCTGCATAAATTTTTTGTGTGTGTGAGGTTAAATTTTATGATGCATTAGTAGATGTATAGTTAATGATCTTTAACTAAGTAGGCCTATAATGCTATATTCTAAATTAAATGTTGATTCATACTTACCCAAAAATGTCAATTCTGCGTAGAATTTATTCGTGTAATATATATATGTTAACGATAAAATTACCTTCACGTCCTGGAAGTGTGACCTGCGCAGTGAACGCGGCAGACAAACGAACAGAGATATCTTGACTTTTATATATAGATAGTCGATAAGTTCTGTACAAAAATTTATCAAAAACTCTACATGAAAATAATTCGAGGGAGGTCGGATTCGAACCTTCAACTTGCACAATAAATCTAACCGACTTTCTCGCCGGACCACGTTGCTTTTCTTAGAGAGTATTTCCAATATATATAATGGTGAAAGTTCCTGATTTTAGACCCCGATATCTCCGCTGAAACATCAAACGGAGATAAAAGATTGCAGATTCGATTTCAGGTCATAAATATGCCCCAGTGAAATATTATTTGTGGCCGTGAAAGTTGCTGTGGTATCCTTGTAAGTATTGTAACAGGCAGAAACATATAATTATTCTAAGATTCCTGTTTGTTTTGTTTAAGGCAGAAAAATCTATCTGCCACCGCCCATATTTTGAACTGCCGACAAAAAACAAGGCAAATTGCCGTCAGCAACCACCGCCAACTGTTGGACTACACTTTTACCAACAAATAGTGAGATTATCACATTTTACACCCCCCACGGCTGAAAGAGTGAGCATGTTCGGCGTCTGGTTTTCATCCTGAGACCTGAAGATTGCGAGTCGAGCGCCCCACTCTTCTTACTATGCCATGTCTCCAATATAATGCAGCATGAGGGCCTCACGGTAGTGAACCGTATAAAAACAGCCGATAATCTAAAGATTAGGTGTAACATAGAGTAGGTATTATGTAAAGAAAATATACGGCAATTTTCAGCAAGTGTGCGATAACCCGAAGAAAATAGCAATAATTCGGGGACAAGAATATAATTACCTTAAGTAAGCGTTCAACAATATATTGTAATGTTGCAGTTTTGTAGTGTAGGAGTGTTGTAATATTGAGCGCCCAATAACAGTAAGTGATCAGTAATATGGAATAAACCTGCAACATTGTAGAATAAGCATATGGCGATGTTTAGTAATCTTAAGTAATATGTAATTGTTCAGTACTTATAAGTACAATAATATTTTGTAAGCAAAGAGCATAATCTAGTAAGTAATAACGCACTGGGGCTGTAAGACTGCATTAATGTATAGTGAGCCCTTGGCAATGTTTATTCAGGTATAAGAGCTAGCTTCATTAGTAGCGCGTTCCTTCTATGCTCGTGAGAAAAGTTATTCACATTTGACACCAGACTGATCAATTCACTTGCTAGTTTTTGTGACATGCGATTTTTTTAGAGGTAGTAGTGTATATTTATTTATTGTGTAGTTGAAACAATTTACGCTAGATGGCGATACGAACTGTACATATTGAACACAGTATTCATCGTAATAATCTTGACTGATCCTTGTACGAAATGGTAGGTAAATATATATTTTAGTTACTCATCTCTTAGACGGTTGAATTTGTTTTCGTCTTAAATTTTAACGAAATAAATACAACAACAACAAAAAAATAATGTTAATGGTAAATTGTTTTACAGTCTGAAGTATGGTCAGAGGTAATACAACATAAAAAAATCCAATGTCTAATTTTTCATGTTATACACACACACACACACACATTATTTACCATCATACAACATCCCTGAATATCCCACTTGGCTAAAGACTAATTATCATAAGTCGTATTCTGACAGCTGTTCTTTTTTATTTTATGTGTTTATTATATTGCGCGCAAAACTACTCGATAAATATCTGAGCTAACAGTCCCTAATTTTGAAGTCATAAACTAGAGAAAAGGTAACTAGTCAACACCATCCACTGCCAATGGGATGGACTGTCATATAATAACGTCCCCACTGTTGAAACAGCGAGCATGTTCAAACTCGCGAGCCGAGTGCCCTAGCCACCAAGCCATGCTATTATACCAGCAAAGCATAATCTCTAGATCAGTTGTTTGTGTGACCTTACATCACAACGCTGGGTGATTAATAGTTTTTAACAAACTTTCGTTACTGGAAATTGTAATTGGCCAATAAAGAAATATTTGTTAAAAATTATTATCATTTATATTGTCATGAAATGCCACCCAAACAGTCGTTCATTTACTAGCTTTGTCTTTATTTGTATTATTAGTAGAACTGATTTAATTTCGTTTAAAATAAAATATTGAAAACCATGACAAATTCATAGAAGTAAAATTTTACCTAAGCCTAACAACAAGCGGATTGTTTAAGGCATTTCTTTACTAAAACTTGATTGTTGTCATTAAACCTCATTTTAATTACTATACTAGCTGTTGTATTAGCACAAAGTCGCTGAGCTACTGGGGGAGGGGGGGGGCAAATATATAGATAACTATACTGACCTAAACCCTAAGGATCTCTGACTTCATCTTTTACTCCACCTTCTCATTCAGTACCGTTCGTGTTGAAATTTCAAGTTCCCAAATGCTACGAATTGTTTTTCTGTATGAATGCTTTAATTATTTCATTAATATAGTCTAACTAAATTATATGAGTAACTGTAGTTGTAAAATAGATACAACGAATTATAAATTAAGATAAAGACATGCACGCTAAATCGAATATTTGTTTTATATTTGCTTAGAATATAATTATACATACTCTTTCGTTTTTATAATTTATAAGTGTTATAGTTTCGTTGACCACTTAGTAACCCTTTAATTTAATTTTCGCTTTTAGAAACGTGGTTTCTCAGATCTAAATGTATTTAGAAATGTTGAATAATATGTTATCAATACACCCAAAAAAGTTTTTATTTTTTATTTTTTTCAGAAAAAAATTATAAAGTGGCGAAAATCAAACCATCACAAGCATCAGTGAGTGTCTGATATTTCCATGGAGGCAACTTTCAGTACTGAAGATGGCGTATTTAAAGAGGTAAGAAGGTCTTATGTTGCAACTAGAAACAGAAAAAGACACTCAAAAGAATTATCTATTATGGACCTTGGTTTAGGTTGTACATGTAATTATGTTCTCATAATAATAATATTTCATGTTTTGATAGAAATTACTGATGGAAGAAATTGATAGTTTTTCTTGCCTACTAAATAAGGATTATATCAAAATTTAGGTATAAAAATACGCTTATTTTCCAAATACATCAGCATATTACAGTTTGAAAGATATCAACTGCACCTGTACATTGCAAAGAGTAATCGTATTCAGTATGTTTTGCTGTATGTTTGGGTAAGCAAGTACAATTCCTTCTGGAAATTTCCGATTATTTAACGTGTTCGATTAACTTTCGCTGAAGAAATAATGGTTGTAGGCTTACCGTTAGTATATTAAGTTCATAGAGACACAAGTTCACCCAAGTTAAATCGTAACATTAAAATACATATGTTTATTCTAAAAGCTTGAAACGTTTGGGACATTTATTTCGTAAAATTATAATTAATTTAAAGAATGAAAATGCGCTCGTCTATGAGAGTGGCAGTGTGTGTTTTAATTTTTTAAATCATAAACTGACGTCATGATGTGACCCACTTTATTTCTTTACTTCGAAATAACTTATAGTTGACAGGAAGTATTAGTAGCTAATGTCATTTAGTTTTCAAAATAACCATAAGATGGCGATAAAACCAATATTTTGAACTTGTTTAAATAATGAAGTGTGAGCTAAGACTTTGCTGAGTTTATATTTTCTGCAACTTGTTAACGCTTTTTTTAATGTAAAGCAACCTAGCTTATATCCATCAATAACATTTGACACTCACAAGTAAGTGTAAGTTAAAAGAAAAAACGTCTAAAAATAAGAATTTTAAAATAAGATAATATGCATCATTAATTTAAAGAAAAAGTGTGTTCTTCCATCAGGAATCGCTTCCCGGTGGCTCAGCGGTAAGTCGGAGAATTATAATGTTAAAAAATCCTAGATCAGTAGAGCTCAAACAGTAAAATTCTGTAGCTTTTCGCTTAGCAACAAACAAACTATGAGCAGTTATACAACGCACAGTCGTTATAATATATATACACACGAAGTGCCTGAAATTATCAACAACAATCACCGTGTTTGTGCATGGAAACCTAGGTGTAAATAGACACTAGCAAATTCATTTTCAGTAAGGTGAATATTAATTACAATTTTCACGACGGACGAATTCAGGTAGTTAGTGTAACACTGCCATAACGAAATGATAATGTGTAAATCAAATATAATAAATGTTGCTTTTTAAAATTTAATAATTTTTGGTGAAGAGAAACTCGTTTACTTCAAGAAAGGTTTCTATTTGGACATTTTAATAGATTTTATTTTGCGATTTTTGATTTAAAATAACTTATGTTAAATGTATTTATTGAACTACTTGGGGTATTGTTTATTGTAAATAGTTATAGATTATGCAGTTTTCAGTGAGATAACATCTGCAAAATAAATCTGACAAAAGAACAGCAAGTACGGGTTACATATTACAGAACAAATAAAGTTAAACCAGTGTTGTTGTTTTTTCTTTTGTATTTGTTCTTTCTGCGATTACTAAACTGACGTAGCTATCGCTAAGTGACAGCATGTTTCCACAAATTGGTTTGCATGTCAGTCGTAAACTTTATCTTGGGCATGTGTAAAAATGTGTCAATTTTCTTTACTTCTCTAATATTTCAAAGCTTTCGTGAAATTCAGAACAACCAGATATCTCTCTAAACCCATTAGCCAAAACGATTGAACTGCATGCGCAAAAACTCTCGGAAACCAAATAGTCTGGACTTGTGGAAAGATCTGCCACTGGGGGGCGCTGTAAGTAAGTATCAGCAACGACCAAAATCACACTGCTCTCCAAGTAATCTAGCATACAGCTGTGTAGGTTAGGAACGTACTAGGTCAGTGTGGAAAGTGACTGAATCTTGTATTTTTCTGTCTTTAATTTTCTAGTGGGGAAGTTTTGCTGTTCGATCTGATCACTTTTGTCATCGACTAAGAATGAATACACCGGGCCCAATATCAGACGATGGTCAGCGGTTTGCTGTATTGAGCTACGAACAGGTCAAGCGATTGCATAACATCATGGACGAGGTGGTACCCATTCACGGAAGAGGCAACTTTCCCACGTTAGAAATTAAGCTGAAAGACCTTGTGCGGGTTGTTCGGGCTAATTTGGAGCAGGACGATGTACATGTGAAAGATATCAGACTTAACGGTGGCGCTGCAAGTTATGTTTTAGGCCCTGAAAATTCGTTCTACAATGATCTGGATTTGATTTTTGCAGTTGAGCTTTCGACACAACGTGATTATGATAGAGTTAAGGGAGCAGTTTTACACTCGTTGCTTGATTTTCTGCCGGAAGGAGTTTGTAAAACTCGAATAAGCAGTTGCAGCTTAAAAGAAGCTTATGTGCACAAAATGGTCAAAGTTACAGAGAGTGACCGTTGGAGCTTAATATCGCTAAGTAACAACAGGGGTAGAAATATGGAACTTAAATTCGTCAACTCCATGAAGCGTCAGTTTGAGTTCAGTGTTGATTCCTTCCAGATCGTGCTGGACTCTTTGTTACTGTTTTATGATTGTGCTCAAATGGCTATGGACGATACCCTCTACCCTACTATCGTGGCAGAAAGTGTGTACGGAGACTTCCAAGAAGCCGTCTACCATCTTCATAAGAAACTGATTTCCACCCGCAATCCAGAAGAGATCCGGGGCGGAGGCTTGCTGAAATACTGCAACCTACTTGTTCGAGATTATAAGCCCACAGTACCGAATGACATCAAATCTCTTGAGAGGTATATGTGTTCGAGGTTTTTTATAGATTTCAGCGACGTTGGGCAACAGCGAAATAAACTCGAGAGTTACCTTGCAAATCATTTCATTGGTGATGACCACAGCAAGTATGAGTACTTGATGATCTTGTACAAGGTTGTGGACGAGAGTACAGTGTGTCTCATGGGCCATGAGCGGCGACAGACGCTGACGCTAATCGTACAATTAGCCTACCAAGTGTATGTTCAAGAACACAGCCAGATACTACTTAAGACACAACAACTTTCTCCTTACGACTTAACATCCCCAGGACACCAGATCATGCTGGGTAACGGTTTCTTTTTCTCACCGTACATCGCCACTTGCTACCCCTGCGGATGGTTGCCTTGCGCGTGACCTTTAAAAGGGAGTTCCATGTTGCTATACTAACATTGAAACGGAAGTCTGTGATGAATTATTCTTCGTCAGAAGGTGGAAGAACCTTCAAAAGAGGTTTGAGCTAATCTTGACCAACTTAGCCATTTGCACGGTGTGGGATTCTGGTTATTAAAAATCGGTGTATTTTATATACCTTACGAGGTGAAAGGCTAAACTAGAGAATTCCAACATTCTAGAAAATATTTTAACTATATAAGCAAAGGGGAATTAATTCACGATCCGCTCTTATAAATTAGCCATAATCAATTTTTAAATTCACAGTGCGAAAAAAAAACAGCTATAAAACAAGTTATTTATCTAAATAAGGTTAAACCAGATTTTTAAAAATGTAACCGGTTTCTTATTACCGCCTGCCGACTCAAATTGTTTGTGAGTTTTGTTTTTCTTAAAATTTTGAAATTCCTGTGTCTGGTTTTAAATGTTTGATTTAAGCGCTAACTATAGAAAGACGTGATTTACGATGTGTATATTTAGCGTTTTGAGCAACGTACCAATCAGGTTATCCAAAAACGAAAAGCTTTCTTAAATTTCTGAAAATATGAGTAGAGAAGCCGGGATTTTTGTTTTTAATTAGGACTTGTATTTTAAATATGTTTAAATAAAACTTACAGAAGAGTTTTGGAAACTAAGCTGATGTTATTGTTCTCAATGTATTATAGCATTTGAAAATAATCGTTGTTGCATTCAATATTTCGTAGATATCAAAAAACAATGGGAAAATGGAACATTTATTGAAATATAAGTCAAAAATGTTAATATAACAGGTGGTTTTAAAACTATGAATTCAGACCAACTGATTTTATAATTGAGGTGTGATACAAAAACACGATGCACTGTATTATTGGCAGAAATTGCTTAGTCTTGTGTTTGTTCTTTCAAGTTTAAACTGCGTTTAACAGTTATTTCCAGTAAAACGTTTCGGAGATTAGTTCACGATTGTTAATTAAAAACATTGTATTGGTGAATTTACTTATCATTGTTAAACATATATATATATACCACACAGTCGGTGGTGAAAGAATTGGTACGTGGCAAAACGACTCGTGTTGCACACCGGAATATTACAAAATATTAAGGTTTTAGCTAATTAACACGTGTGACGTTGATCAGTCGAGAGATCAGTAGTTGTGGAGAAGGCCAGAATTTTCCTATCGTAGTACCAATCAAAGTATCTTCGTTTTTCTCAAAATATGAATCAGGACAGAGGTCAGATGATGCAAGATTTAATATTTATAGATCATAGAACAAAGTATGTAATATCAGTATGTGTGTGTGTGGTAAGATTTATATAAAACGAAAATGGTTAACATACCATTTCGTGCTTGTAAGTTGTAGAAATGATAAAATTTGCGAATAATACTTTCTTTAGTTTCAGTCAATATACAATGAATAGTTCATAAATTTTGAGACGAAAAAGTGTCCAAGTGAATTAAGTGAAAAATAAAATTAAATGAGAAAAGGGGTATCATAAAATATCTGAAACTTAATTTATTAAACAATTCTGTAATGAGTTTCTCACTAATCACTACATTCTGGTAGCTTTGTTTTTCAGTACTAAAAACATTTACACTGAGAATTATAAAACTTTAAAGTAGCCCGAAGATTTCCTGTTAATAGCTTTCCATAGCAAGAATATACTGGTGTGTATTTTAAGTGTTTGTATACTTTTAATTCTTCAATCGTGTCACATGGACATTTGAGTTGTTTGCTGTAAATTAATAAATCATCACAAAAATAGCCATTGTAAACGTTTTCGCAAACAATACTACTGCAGAACGACACTCGAATAAAAAAAAATCGGGTTGGTATATTAACCCAAGTAAAAACTTTTTTTTTTTTAGTTTGCTATTTCAAAATAATCCATATATCACGAACGTTTTCTTATACTTTAGAGAAGCTTAAAAGAAACTATTAAAGCATAATACGATTCTAATATATTTCAGTTTTATAAATATTTAAGCATTAAGACAAATAAATATATTTAAATAGTAGCCTATGCACGACTGACTCTGGTTGTGAATTACTTTTTGTTACATAAGTGATATAAACAAATTAAATTTAATAGTTTATAAATGTGTGCATTTTACCCACTGATGTGGAATCGTGATTTCAAAAATATTGTCATATCGTATTACGTACACGCGGTACATAAGTACACGTGTTTGACTTGGTAATTAACACAGCTGTATCCTCAAGGTTTTTATGACCAATCAAACGTGTGAGAATGTCTTCTGCAGAAAATAGTAAATAAGATATGCTACCACCAGTCTTATGAACTAATCAATGCATAGTCTTGTCATTCATTATACTTTTGTAAATAAAAAAAAAAATTAAACTCTCATTAAGTACATGTTACATAAGGTCAAAATCGCTTGGAATTCTTTATGCGGAGTACTGTAAGATTTTTAATTTGGAAAAGGACTGGTTAGATAATGGATAATACAACATTGTACACGTTAATGTTATAGTAAATATATTCTTGCTTCAAAATAATCAGAAGATATGCTTGAAAGGGTAAATCCCATGTAGAGGCTAAAATTATGGATTCAACTTCACACAAGGTACATTTCTCCGAATTCCCCATCTCAGCGTAGGGTACACACAAATCTGAACTCAAAGCGTAGGAGTTATTTTTACAAGTCGGGTAGCAGTTGGGAACTTTATTACTGGCAATGTTAACGCTAAATATTTCTTTATCTGGCGACGATGATTGCGCTTGACTGATCCGAAGTACTTGTTATTATATAACTTAGTTAAATAAACACACCAAAGTCTGTGTTTCTGAATACCTTCGTATTTTTTAGGAAGTTTTCAATTAAAGTGAAATATAGCGGTTCATTTATTATTATTCACACACAAAAAGTACAAATATGTAGTTAGTCATAAAGTGCGTACACGCCCGATAAAAACAACAAAAAGAAACTAATGAAACCATGATTGTTTCAGTCATCGTAGCCGAGCTTTGCAAGTTTGTCTGATAATCGTGTAATTCAATATCTTTCTGACCTTTGAACTATCTTTTCTGTTGAAGAATTACTGGGCGATTTAAATTTTCGTAGTTTGCGTCATTTCTTCCCTTTGTAACCTTGACCTTACGCATGAGGGACCTAAGAGGTGTAAAGCAGCGTTTCCAGTTATTTTGTGTTCCTATGGTGATGATTTCGATTAAAAACAAATTTCATAAGGTTCACCATAATATGATTTCAAGAGTATGAATTAAATATCTGGGATTTATATATTAATGAACCATATATAGTATTCACCAAAATAAGGTTTCTTTACATATTCTCTTACTAAATTAAAACAAACAGAGCAAGTTCCTTAACGCATTTTAAATACAAGCAAAAAGAATCAAAGAAGCTAAAGATTTTGTAAGTTTTCTTTTTAATTTTTTGTAGTACTAGAGAAAAGTGTTAGAAACCATTAGGGTTAATTCAAAGACTCAAGTGAAGAAGAGAATACCCTCTGCGGAAAATTTTCTAAATAACGCATTAAGAAATGTCAACGGTGAACCCAAACCGGTAGGTCCGCTCGATTAGTGATTTCTTTGTTTTTACGTGATTGTTCCCGTGCTTCATTCTAGAGATCTGTTATACGTAGTATCAAGGTCATTACAGTAAGTAGGGCAATGCATACAGCAATGTCGTCAAACGGAAATACTACAATATGTGTTTGTTTCACCGACTTTTTTAAGATTGTATAACCTCACGGTCTCTTTGAGCACGTGTTCCGATATTCAACAGGGAAATTCCTTGAGCTAAACATGTAGACCACATTGTCGAAATACTTTATAATAGAAGAGGCTGTGACTAGGAGCTATAGTTGACAGTGTACGAAAATGTTGAAATTAAGATATTAAGAGTTTCCTTGTAATAAATGAAAACCTATTATTTTTTGTTTAAATGCTATTGAAATTGTCTAAAAACCTTGAATAAAATAAAGCCCTCGTGTAAAGAAGGTAATTACTGTGTTGATATCACCTGTAGTTTAGGGACATAAATAATATGTTATTTTAAGTTAGATGCTTCAGAAATGGAAGATGGCGCCGTGCTAAATGATCACTTCTCCACGGAGAATTTAGTGGTAGTAATTTTATTAGTATGACAGAAACTAATAATAGCATGCTATTTGCAAGTATTAACCACTAACAGAAAGTAATTGTGGTTTCGCCCTAAACAAGAAATAGATATTGCTTTTGACGCTGAATTCAACACAAAATATTAATTACTTTTAAGTAGACCTTAGTTGTTTTTATCTTTTATTAAACTTTTGAGATGAGTAAAGTTAGAATTAAAGCAACAGTTGAAGGTGGTCAATGAGTTGAAACAAATAAGAGTGGCAGCAGAAATAAAATAAGTTCTGCAAACTTCCAAATAAAAGCCAGATGAACAATACATTTTACAAGTGACGTTGCTCTCGTCGTCCCTTGTTTTAGTCCCACACTACATACTATATCAGTTAGCATTTTTATATTACTGTAAACTACCTTTTTTTTTTCTAATACTTTTTAGGTTGCAGCTTTTATACAAAGTTTCAAATAAAGTTATATCAAATCTATGAACAAAAACTACATATCTATTTTCAAGTAGGTTTAAACTGTACATTCAAATCAAGTCATAACACCCGCTCGTTGTAAGGATTAACTGTGGTTTAATCGTATTGTTATAGGTGTGGTTTGTAAAGATGTATGAATGTTTTATTCGCGTAATACATAATAAATGCATCTAATTATTTACATTTATCAGTAATAAACCGTTTAAAATTTCTTTATAAAGAAAAATATTGTGAAATAGCACTTAAACATGTAAACCTATCATTCTGAGTATAAAATGTACAGGTTGTTGCTTGTTTTTAACTACAGTGTTCCTGACGTAAACATCGTATTTACGAAGCCAGGTTGTACAAAACGGTTCACTAGGTGACAATCTTGTTGAACGTATGCTTAAAAGACTAGATCTTGGTTGAATATGACAAATTAACTCAGCACCAGTAAAGATATATATTACCGCCTGTTACATACGTAAGAATAATACGCATATCCTATAATAAAAAGACAGATAGAAACTGTATTAAAAGATGAGTAATACATTTTGCAGCGTGACATTGGTTTACTGCTAAACAATGATCTCAGTATAGCTGTAAACAAATTCTATCGTCAAAATCTTAGTACGTAAAACAAAAATATTGGAACACAAAATTGATGAAACAGTTCTAAATTCAAAGCAAGTTGAAGGACGTAGTAAAGTTAAATGTATAGAAACCGCTTGCTCATATGATTGGGTGACAGTCCTTCCAGATATTAGCATAATGTATTTTACAATAAATAAATAATTTCAAATGTTTAAATTGAAGACATAATTTATTTTAGTGGTCGGTTAAAACAATAGATTCAGAATTGGCAACAAACGTGGGTATCTATGTATAACGATTATTATTTTGGAAGTGTTTGTGGAGTAAACATTTAAATAGGTAGGATCCAGATGAAGTATTATCTTATATCCACTAGAGACAATAAATAAGTTCAAAAGAAATAGGAGAGTGGTCCCTTACTGTCGCGATACTAGTCTGAATTCTATGACATTCGACGTAGTTAGATAACATGTCGAGATGTCAGTAAGTTAACGAAAATAGTATTCATTACCTTTGTTAGAATAATCAAAAATACGTTTCTCAAAACCGTAGGTGTTTAGTGATTATCATCCTGAAAAAGTTGAATGAATAGCTTTAGGTTTAAACTGAAATAATACTTTTTCACGTGTTTGATAATAAATGAGTAAAAAGAATACATGAACAGGCCAGATAGATAGTGTGACAATAAATAAGTACTTATTATTATTATAATACATTTATTGTAGTGTTAAAAACTTTTTTTTCAAAGCTGTGTGAAATTCTACTCAATGGTATACAAGTTATATTTTTTACAGGACAATTTAACAATATAACATATCAAACTAACAAATAGTAAGAGAAAAGTGTGTGCTTGGTTACAGAAAAGACTGTTAACTGTAAGGCCATACTCAGGAAGTGAATGTAACAAAATAAATTTTAAACAAACGTACTTTATTTGATACTATAAATGTGATTCGAACAATGTCACAAATTGGATAAAAGCAACAAGTTGTAGAAGTATCCAAAATATTAACCTCCGCGCTACACCAAATTTCATCTTTGAAGCTTTTTAGCCCTTTTATTTCTAAAAAAAGTTTATAACTTCGGGGGTTCTGTGCCCTTCTTTTGTTGTGTGTTTCTAATACACGTGTTTTCACGCTTTGAAGAGTAAAATGTTTGTGCGTGTTAATCTCGGCTCTTGGTCCAAATATAGCAGTCAGTTCGTCAGCAATAGAAGTAGCGCATAGTAAAATCTATTCGGAATATGTACTTATTTGCTCCATGTCTTTTTTTAGAATTTTTAGTTTGTCTAAGCTTCTTTTTTGTGTGTGTATATACATCTACAACTTTATTTATAAAATTTTCAGATCTCATTACCCGTTCACTGCCTGGTTTATACCAGGCGATCACTTTTGTCTGAGCACTTTTCTTCTGACACTGTAAGAGACACCTTTAAGTTGTCTGTGCTTTAAAGTAGGCTAGAAAGAGGACAAAGAAGCATTTGAACTTGAAACGTCGTTTCATGTTTGTTTTCTGCACAAATATAAACTTAATACAGTTGCAATATTTAGATTTATTGACAAGATACTTCAAAACTTGAAGTCAAAATCGTTAGAGTTCATCAACAGTGAATATTTGGTAACGTAAAGAAGTATTTACGTTAAAAACGTAGATGTATTTGGTTTGCCATCT